TATGATTCTGATTTCTGAGCTGAAATTTCAATGTTTTACACGCCACACGGATTATTCTTAAGTCTGCTCGTGAAATCCGAAAATGCGCCATTGAGAGCAAATTATTGCTCACAATACGTAGCAATGAATTTTAATTAAATAGTATCGTTGATTTTAAATGTTAAACGCGCTTCCGCGATGCTGCTAAAATCTTTCGAAGATCTTTTAGATCTGTTAGATTATGTCACGCCAAAAGAATATAATTTAGCGAAACAACTTTTATATAGTTTCGTGTATAGATATACAGATAGAAGATAATAAAATCGTAATTAGATCGTCTCACTTCTACCAATTCGCCAGATTAGGTGAAACTCGAATTCCAGTGGGAACATGCTTGTTAGGAACGGCATTTTTGCCAAATATATCTATATAAGGAATCGTACGATTCAGATTACTTTATCTTACTTAACACAAGGTTAATTTACAGCAGCTATTATAGCTAGGGCGTCTATTAACTTGAAACATTAAAACTTTATATGTATTCTGAACAAATTTAAATACTTGATGTTTAATAATAAGGATATTAAAAACCTATGCTTAAAATTTTAAATCTTCCGAAATTTGATACAAAAGAAATGTAACTTAAGAATTTTAATACATGAATGATAAGCAGAAGTGAAATTTCGCTAAATATTGTAAATACTCTGTGATATTGAAAATTGTACTCTTCCTATCCGTATTAAGCAATTTATTCATGGATGTAACAGCGACGGAAGGGCAGGGGGATGAGCCGTGATCGTTACAAAAACACCCTCGGAACGGTCGGCTGCTGTCCGTTTGATTCACCGTTTCCTGCGATCGTCGTATTTTTGTCCGCGCGTGCCTCCACTTCGTTTCTTTCGGTGCTGTCTCTTGCCTCGTCCTTTTTCCGCACTCTCTCATACCCCCCCCTGCACTATCTACGACCCTGTCGTATTTTCTTACGCCTTCAACCCTTCCTTTTTTTCGTTCGCAACGCTCGGCCCTCCCACGCGACGCGAAGAAAACACCTCGCGTATCCGTGTGCGTGTCTACGAAACGGTGAAGGCATACGCGCGCGCGCGCACGCGTGGAGGTGAACCTTACGTAGGTTTAATGAGCGCTATTATGACCTAGTTGCACTCGACATCGTGCACATAAATCCTCGCGGTACATTAATCCTCGACAATCTCGAACTCTCCCGAGTGGTACCGACGCACGCGAGCAGGCCGCGGAGAATTTATTAATCGTTCAAGAAAGAAAAAACGAAGTCCCCGGCGCAAGAAGAAGGATGATCGCACGCGTCCGGAAGCGATGAGCGTGGACTGCCGCCGCGACGCGAAAAATTAAGAGATCCGTGAGAAGATCTCTTCGCGCAACTCGCGTCCATAAATAATCGGATGACTCGAGATTTCGGAAACACATAGATATGTTTATTATATATGCCTCATATTTTGAGTCACGGTATAGTACGCTTTTAATCATTAATTAATTGAGATATCGCAGATTATTTACTAATTATGTTAACTACTGCTAATTATTTCATTGGAAATTTGTATATAAGACTGAACGTGGAATTTCCAAGATGTTTTCAATATTCAGGAAACTTATTTCCAGAACGGTATTTAACGAAGTATTTAATTATCTCTCTGCTTAATTCCGCGAACGTTTCTCTGCGTGGGAGTTTAATTTAACTTTAAAGGAGTATTTCGTACTTCTTCGAGCCTTCTTCGAAAGGATCTTCGGTACTACGCCACAAAGATACACGGCGTACAACAAGTAAAGAAAAAAAAAGAAAGAAGAAAAGGCACGACCGCGAAGAAATACAAGAAAAGGTGAAAAATAAATCCACTCTGCCGCTCGCGCCTCTCCTCGCGCCTTTATCTCTCGTCATCGCTTTCTCCCTGGCGGCGTGATTTACACCTGGGTTGTCTTCCTTAATTAGGTTAAGGCTCTTTGGTCCTGCTGTTGCTCGCTCACCAGAAAGGAAGACGAAGGAGGCGGTCTGAGCTTCCGATTCGCCCGCGAAATTTACTCGGCGCGCTCCGCTTGATGTAAAACGTCCGTGGTTCGTTATAACGACTGAAAGACCGCGGAAACTTTACGGAGCTCGCCTAATTAATCGCCTTTCGTTAGTATCCTTTCGTCGCGCTCGCCGACCGTTATTACGCTTCATTGGTAGCTTTGCCGGGGCCCCGCTCTTCCCGAGAAAGAGAGAAAGAGAGACGTTTAACGAAGCGTGACACGGTAACCGACGACGGTTTAAGTAGTAACCGCCTTCTACGCCCTGGTTGGTCAGCCGTTGCGTACTCGCAGCCACCGAAGGCTGTTCTAGGCCGTTTGGTAGTAACCGTTAGGCAATGCTTCTTGTGCACCGGTTACCTTAAGCGTTCGTCTGAGCGCGCCCGTTGTCCTTGCGAAGATTCGAGCCACCGTGTATCTCCTCGAAAAACATACACGGCGACGTAATCGCTGTTGACCCGTGAACGTAAGAAGAAAGAAGAGTACGAACGCTATAATCACCGCGTGCTCGGGTAAATCTCGGGTTATTTTCTTCTCTCTCTCTCCCTCTGTCCGTTTCTCTCTAAAAGTAATTTCTTTTTTCTTACACGTTGATCGAAAAATACAGCGTTCTGCGTTCATGCGTTTGTAAGTCTGCATTCTTCGCGACGTGTTCACTTCACGCGGGTCGCATTTTTTCGTACGTATTTTGATAGGGTTGACGCCACTTTTATGGCACATTAGGTCGTAACTCGTGATATCTCGCCGTTTGATTTACGCGAGACGACCCGTGTGTTTATTAATTCACCGGTAAGGTACGCTGTCTCAGGAGCGCGATTTAGTAAAAGAGTCGACGCGTTAATTCGCGGTAACGTGGAATCTCTGTAGTGCGTCGCGCGTCGGGATAAAAGCGGCGGCGAAGGTAGTCCGGGACATCGTGCCCGTTGCTCTCACTAGGGAAACTCCGAAATTTATTAACTTGTAAGGTACGTTCTTGCGCCGAGCAACACAGCCACCCAGAACTCAATAAAATGTACTTTCGTTACTTTCTCGCGGTCTCTTTTTCCTCCTTGTTCTCCACGCCGTTTTGGCGCACGCTCGTTTATTTGTTGGCCGCGCGATAAAACTTCTTTCTCCTCTTTCAGTATATCTCTCTCCCTTTCCTTCTTTCCCCGTTTCTTCTTTTCATCCTGGTGGATCTCTCTTTCTTTCTCCGGGATCTTTTCATTTAAACTGTCCGCCGGTCGTAAGAAATAATGCTGGAAAAAGTCGCCGCTTACTCGACTCAGTTACGAGATACCCTTTTTAACGATCGCACTTAACCGTGCCTTTTGACGCTGACGTACGACGTACACAATCTTCGCGATTGCGACGGGAATTAAGCCCAATATAAAAATGCAGTCTCTTTGGTGCTTTGGTGGCCGATTGGTGGATACGTAGATACATCATATACGTTTCTTCGCTTTAAAGCCTTCGCACAAAACTTTCGTATGGTAACGTAGTGTAGCGATACGTTTCTTGTGCGTTGAACCACGTTACGTTACGCTACGCTATCATACGAGAGTCTTGTGCGGCTCCTATACACTGCACGAGTTATAAGGCTTTCATATATCCTCTCTTTTCTTTTGTTAGTCTTACGAAGCGAAAGAGAGCGAGAAAGATTTGGTCGTGTTGGCGATGTGTAACAAATGTCGTGTTATTGTAAGCTATAGATCAGCAAGTATATACAGATGTTCTAGACGCGCGATCATATGCCTGGATTACGTAACTTCGCGTTGTAGAAGGTCGGTGGTAGATTTGACAAGCGTCACACTTTTCGAGAATTGTTCTCTCGCTTGCTCGATGTCGGGCGGACGCAAACCGACCATGATAATGGCAGTGCATATGCTTGTCGCGATTCCGTAAAGTATGATCGGTACATTGCCGAACGGCGGCACGGTCTATGGTCAACTATAAAGGCCATCTGTTCGCTTTTAGAGTCTCCTTTATACCAGCATACGGTGACGTCACTCTCGCGCCGAGATAAAACGAGATGGACGCCCGCACTCCGCCACCGCGACTCGCGTAACACCTTGCACTCTTCTTTGTCGTCCCCCCCCCCTCCCCGCGCGTCGCCGCTCCCGTCCCCTTCTGTTTTTCGTGAGGAGCCATCGAATTCTCAACGAGCCACATTGACTGACGCGCATGTTATACGATGGAACTTTAACGAGTGTTCGTCTAATCGTCGTGAACCGCGTTTCGAGGAAAGTCTCACGCGAGACTGCTTTTGGCACGGTTCTTGCCATGAACGTCATTGTCGTTCGTAAATCATTTACTCGCGCTCGTTTCGACGCGTCCGTGGTGACTAGGCGCAATAGTAGTCAACGAGAAGACGATCCGATCGATCGAATTTATTTTTAGGGAAAGCTCGATGTTTCTTCACTTATCCATTATTGCTTCTTCGTTCGCGACATTCTTTTATAGCAAAAGTTTTATCAGAATTGCAGTATTATAAATAACGTACTCTCTCTACAAACAAATATGATTTCTTTGAGGCTCAATTTCTTTCTTGTTTTTATTAAATGGTACATTTAAATGATAGCATTTTATTAAGTGCTATCAATTTTAACCCATCAATTTTATCGAACCTCTTGACTATTATAGCTTCAAATTTTTTGTACTTATCTCGCACTATCGTATTTAAATTACCGAAACTCTTTTAATGAAAAATAATGAATAATTACAAATGACAATGCCAAATGACTCGTGCCATTTGACCGATCTTCAAGAATCGTTTGCAATCTCGTAAAGGCGCGCCGCGAGATTTCGTAAGGCGGCGTTAACGCCTTCCACCGGAGGAATCGATCGAGGCTGGTCGCACGTTGGCGCGATGCCAGCACGGGCATCCCGACGCTTCCCGAGATGGTGGACCGAGTCCGACCGAAGGCAAGCGTCCCGGCGTCGGCGTCGGCGTCGGCGTCGGCACGTCGGACGTCCGTCAGTGCGCGTGTGACATGGCTGCGAAGCGCTACTACGGCGACCTAGACGACGCCCTCCACCTCGCGATGTGAACACACTCGCCCGCGACACCCTCGCCTACGATCCTTGCGCGGCTCCTCGGACTCGCAGCGGTACACTGATACCCAAACCGATACGGAGATGAGTCACAGTGGTCGAACGCTACACAAAAGACTGCAGATAATGCGATCGATCATCGTGTGATTGATATTGATAATACGTCGGAAAGCAGGAAGAGGAAATCAGTATCACTCATAGGAAGATCTCTCTATCTTTCATTCTTTTACGTTATCGTTATCGGCGGTGCGTCGTGCCATAGTTGTACTCACTTATCGGTGATTACAGAAGTTAGTTCTTAATTGTCTGGAGATTCGTGTAGACCGGAATAAGAGACGGTCAGCCCCGCGCGTGACGAAAAATCAGGACGAACATTGTCTCGGAGATTTCTCTCGAGGCTTAATCGTTCGATCGATCATCATGTCGGGTCTCTGATCGTCGAGGCGTCACGGCGGCACGGTGATCGCGTGTCGAGAGACCGAGACGCGTGGACAGGAACAGGCGGAACGATGTAAGAGAAAAGAGTGCGAGGTGAAGCCGAATCTCATACAAGATGGCAAGTCGGAAGGGTTGATCCTTAGCAAGTGCGATCCTTGTCTCGCGCGTATGAAGCACAACGTACCATTCCCACAGACAGATGAAGCTGCATTCCCTCGAATCTCGATCGCGGCGAAAACAGTGGGCGACTGTTTTCGAAAAGTTGTACATAAATGCACCCATAGAAAGCATGCGGTCGTCAGCGCACATCTATTCCTAAAATCGAACGTTAATCACTTTATTAGTAAGATTCGCCACATTCAGTGCTGTCTCGTTCTCATCTCGTGGCGCCAGAGTGTGAACTATAAACTGTTACGCGGAAAGTCTCCCAACTCTCTTGAAACGCGAATTGCTGCTTATAGCAATATACATCGCCGCTTTGAGTGCCTCAAATCATATTAAGTTAATCACACTAAGTTTCCTCAGCGGTACTCGATGAAGCATAACGCAACTTCGAGCGGGAACATGGACGAGCGAGGATAATCCTCGGAGTCGCGATCGATAATCGATGATCGACGCGGATAGTGCATGTAATACGGCTGCGGGCTGCACGTCGAGACAATTTTCTCTTGTGTCTGACTAGGATAATAATTCGTCGCGCCGCGAGAAGTGCAGAGAGAGAAAGAAAGAGAGAAAAGGGGGAGGGAGGGAGGGAGAGAGAGTGGGTGCATGTGAATGTGCGCGCTCGTGCGTGTCTATGCGCGAAGTGCATAAAGCGACGATGGGATATCGGTGAGATCACGAGGTCACCGCAGAATGCCTGAGCCGAGGGCAAAGCGCTGTAAACACTGTGACGGTACGGTACGCGTGGCTAGCTGGACTGCAACACGTCATGATGAGTGGTTACCTCGCTGACCCTTAACACACCTCGATCGCTTGCGACTAACATCTGTGTCGACTAATAAAGAGTGTTACGTTTGAGCCGAGATTGCGTTTCAATCCCATTAACCCCCTACCGCTATTGTGTTCGTGTGAGAGTTACGGAACGTCGCTTCGTCACGCCGAGTTTTACGCGAAGTCGATGAGTATGTAAGTCAAGCGGCGAACTTGGCGTACGAAGTAACATTTCGCTTGACTCTTTATTCGACTTCGTCGCTAAATAAAAATATCTTGACTTTTTTTTAATTTCAAATGAGAAAAACATAATGAAACTGATAAACGGAGAATTTTAACGGGTTGATTACGATAGTACCATTTAACTTGCGAGTCGTTTATCAGGTAACTGTTAGCGGACAACTTGACTATAGATTTTCCACATTAAAAGTCGATAGAAAACGAAAGCTGTAGATTTTTCACGAATGCAAGGGATACCAATCGGGATAGTACTATTTTATTTGTGGGTCATTTATTCCACGACTGCAACCGGACATTTGGACCAGGCTTGAGGCAGACCGAGACGAATGAATGCGTAAAGCGCATTCCGGATCGGGCGGCGACCACGTCCAACTGCACTCCTCCCCCTCTACTCATCTCGTTCTCTTCCTCGGGCTTTTTCTCTTCATCCCTCTGTCTTCGTCGTGTCCTTTTTTCCCGTCACCTCTTGCACTCCATTCTGCCAGTATTTTTACCCACGGTTATTCACCCTCTTATCTGTAGACGCTTGACGGTTGTCCACCTGTACTAATCATCGGTTTTTATATATCAGTCCCGCGTGATTTTATCGCAGTCTTCCGGAAGCTCCGAATATTAAGTGGTATTTACACGCGAATGGTCAACGGAGCTTTTAGGAAAATAGCAGTTATTTTAAAAATTGGATTTGTGAAATCAAGATCTTGGTGCCGGATTAGTCGTTTATTTGAATTTCCTTTGCGATTAAATTCCCCTGTAAACACCGAACCCTACAAGTATGCTAACGATCACTCCGATTCCTGGTATTGACCTACTTACTTTCCTCAACGATTTTACCCCGGGGAACGTGTTCGTTTTCTTTACTGCTGCATCTGTTGGTAGTTTAATAAACACCGTCGCAAAGTACGGCCAGACATTCGCCATAAGTGTCAAGTGGCATAGCTTAAAATGCATATCGTTCTTTAACTAGGGAGGGGATTGTTATTTCTAAGGAAGAAACTTCATGGATGACAAATGAACCGTATTTCCGTAGACGCTTCGAAGAACTTATATATATAGGCTGTGCGCTAATCGATTTTCTCGATAGTCGGAAATTTAAGCCAGAAAACTTTCAGCCGAACACAATGATATATGATGTTTGAACAGTCGAGCATTTCTTTTCACTCTCGTGGAGAAACTATTCTTCTAAATATCCGTTTTTTTTTTTAATTAGCTGTTGTAATTATAGAACTCAGTAAAATAGGTCAACTCTCACGTATAAAATGTCATATGTACTTGAACGTATAGAATTTTTGAAGTTCAGATTTTTTGTGGATGTTATTCTCTTTTTTCGATAATTCCAATTTCTAAAGTTCGCCCATGTTTCTGCAAACTTATTTAACTTTCATCGTGGATGTGCTTGTCAAAAACTTCACGTCGACATCCCATGAACATAAAACAAACGAACCGGCTCGTTTCGCGAATATAGAAACGATGATGTGATCTTGCTGAAAAAGTTGAAGGTTACATGCTTGAGCTTTGTCTCATACCGAGCGCGTAATATATATCGTCCATTTGCATCCACCTTTTCTCGTATATTTCAAAGAGAAATGGTAATCGAGTGACAGCGAAATTCTATTCTCGTTCTATCAGACGGACTTTTTTTTTATTTCCTCTTCTGTCACACAGTTATATAACACGAAGTTTATTTTTACGTTTTTTTTTTCGCGATGGTCACCGAATTCGCGGACAATAAGTATAAAATGGTTCGCTCCCGTGGGTGTTGACAATCGCACGATCGCGGGATGGATCGTCCGAGCCGGACGAGACGATCGATAAATCTCGATCTAAATTTATCTCCCTCGCGGGAACATGTTGCTCGTAATCCGCGTTGCTTTTTTCGATTTATGGCCAGCGCCTTCCGACTACAGTTTTACAGCTTTGCGCTATTGCATAAACACACATTATCGCACGTTATTCTGTAAATTCATGGCAATTATTCAGCCGCTACAGTGATGGTTATAGCGCTCTCGGGGCACGGCGTCTCTCGTTTTGACGTGTGTCGGATTTTTGGAGATTTTTTTTAATTTTTGGACGGTGTGCCGACGCGAAGTCTAACGCCCATCTCACGACGGCATAAAAGTGATTCGTAGATACGCGAATGGCTCATAAACATCGGGTCGAGCAGCTGTCGATGGAAAACACGGGCTATATTTAAGCCTGACCGCGCTGAATATCCCATGGTTAACTCTTTACAATAGATCGGACACGATTTTATTCCGCTCGGAACCCGGCTTACGAGATACGTGCGTAATCGGAACGCAGATGTGATTAATCGTTTCCTAAAACCGACATTCCAGCTCGACCGGCGGCAGTCAATAGCAGAGCCAGGAAAGAATGCCGCGTCCAAATATTATGAAAGTAGGTCTAAGAATTTCGGGACATTGACGGCCGGCGCTGCCGCCCACGTCAGCGTAGATTTAAATGGCTTTTAAAGAGCAACTCTTTTAAGCGACTTCGGATATACTGTGTAAACGTTGTAAATCTAGGCCAGTCTAGGCGAGGACGAGATCACGAACGTGCGCTAACAGGTGGATCGTGCATCAATTTTATTCATCCCCCGCCATTATCATCGGTCGGCGGCCGTTTCTGTCACAACTGTTACGCGTTTGGCTCATTTTTGCGGTACCTATGGACGACATAAGTCGTCACCTAGATCTCGTCCAGCGTGGCCCGACCTTCGGAGGATTCGCGACGAGAGGGTCGTTCGCGGGATGAGAATTTTGGCAGCTCGCGGCTCTGGACGACTCTTTCGATTATTTATCGGTACGGTATGCGCGAAACGTAGGCGGTGGTCCCCCCCTCTCTCTAACTCTCTCCCTCTCTACTCCACCTCTTTTCCGTTTTCTGGCCGAGCTCCAAACGGCAGCGACACCCTTACACCTATGGATTTATTTCTCGTACGACGACCGGGTATACGTGCTAACACGTCTACCATACTGACGCCTTCGAGTGGAAGTCTTACGTGCGAACGCCTACGCACGCACGCGCGGTTACAGGCTTACGCATTACGTCGTCGCGATTACGTGCATCTTTCGCGCATCACGCATCACGTTTGCGGACTCGGATCCACACTCACGACGTTAGTAGAAGTGCACAAAGTGTATTACGAGTCGATATCGCCTGAAACGTTTGATAAAAAAAATATGTGTAAAGCTACATTAAATTTTGGCGCGTGTATAAACTAACATATTCAAGAAAATGACTTTTTTGCCTTATCAAACTGTGCTGTTTACTCGGTTTCTTTGGATAAAAATTGCAACAATCTGAAATTTTGGTCGTCAAGGCAAAACAGGAATATAATGAATAATGATACGCCTAACAAAAGTTGCGAAATATAAATTGGAACAGTTGCTGCCACGAAAATAATCCCATGAAATCGGAAGACTAACTATATGCGAATGTCGAACGTATTTGTAGTTGGCTATACATTGTTCACAACAATGTTATTATAATTCGCACATTGCATATTGTATCTATATAATTATCATTTATATAATGTTTTATTTATTAATTACATCGTACAATATTTTCAATTCTAAACGTTATTTTTGTATTCATCTATAAATTTTACATAAAATTTTATAAAGCTTGACGAACAACTCGTTATATGCATAAATTAAAAGAAACAGGAAATGCTCGACGATTACAAAATTATAAATAGAAAGGAATTGAAGGCCTAAAATGAATCAGACGCAAGATGCAATAAAGTATTAATCATCGCTCTTTTTACGACGCTAAAACGTATGCTTTTTTCTGACTATTAAACAACAGTACTTTTATTTTTCGTTCTGACAGCAAGAGCAACGCGTTGAGCTTGCTATTTCCGTCGTCACGATTAGGCTTGTTTATGACGGTGGCACAGAATGAGAGTAATCCCCCCGAAATATGATGTTGGACTCTCGGTATATTTAACGGTGTACGCCGTTGTCGATTGATTCCAATAGAGTAACGTAATATCCGCCGCTTCCTTCCTTTCCCCGTATACTTTCCTGCCTCCCTTTTGGATGCACACGCGCCGCGTTCTTCTGTTGCTCTTGGCAGATACAAGCGTAGTTTACGCTGTAACAGCTGTGCGCGCACGCACTTTGCTCGCGCAAAACATCGCTAATGGACCGACAATCCCGAATCCAGTCGGCTTAGGCGTATATATATGTATATAGTATGCGTTTTATCTAGACGTACTTTCCTTGTATTTTTTTTCGCCCCTGAAATTGTTATCGACGTATGAAAATAATACGTGAGCAAAAATCTGCACTCTGATTCCGTAATATCTGAATGTTACACGTATAGTAATCCTGTCAGATACATTGTAAAATATTATTAATGATATATGTAATTTTTAACCATTGTTCTATTACGTTGGTACGCAGTGATCCAATATGATCTCTTTTTAAAACATTAAAGGTAAAACTATAGTCATTGTTTAAATTGAAATTAGTATTGCGTATGTGTGTGTGAGACTGAATAATAGAAACCATTTCTCTCAAATAACTTTTATATTAATTTCCATCAATAAACTGTCGATTGTGCACACTTAAATTCTACAGAAGTTTACTCTCGTATTAACAACGTGGAATTCAACAGGAAACTTTCGTGAAATAAGAAGTAAAATGGAAACGTTCACGTGCAAACACGCTTCCTTATCTATAAGCTATAGCTTCGTTTTCCGCAATTCGGCACGTTCGA